TATTTAAAGCATTAAATAAATAATGGCCTGAGTTTGAATACTTAACTGAATGTTTCAAAATATTTCGGAATAATCTTAGTTTATTTTATTTTAAGTTTTTTTAGAATGACATGTAGAAACAATGTTTTTTTCGCCTCTTCATCATAAGTGATAAGAATCAGAAATTTCAATAATTTATATAGATATTTAAAATGAATTATTTTTAATATATTTGAATTCTTTATATGTATAATGTGTGAGCTCACCTGATTTCTGTGTCCGCGGGCTGCATAAAACAGTCTGGTGACCTAGCTGTGTACCGTAATTTGCCCACCCCTGATCTAGACTTCAATTTCACAATCTCTAAATCTAAAATCTAGATCTATAAAAGGCCATATACACAGGGTACAAGATATTTAGGTTATAAGCAATAAGTGCACTAATTAGATATACTATAGATTAGTTGTCAAGTAGATTATTAATAATTGGTGCACTATGAGTATGACTAATTCACTAAATAATTGCACAGATCATAATTCATTTTAAAATTTTTACTTAAGATTAAAGATAGATATGCCAATTATTTCTCATTTATTTGATTAGATCAATTAGATAATGATAAAATAATGCATAGTCTACATATAAAAAGTATTCTTCCTTCTTCCCTAGTGCTATTAGAGCATGGAATGGGTTGCCTGAGCTAAATACCTAGGTGTTATAATAAATGAAAAACTGTCATGGAATCCACATATTGATAAAACTATTAAAAAAATCAAACAAAGCATTAGGATTTATTAAAAGAAATTTCTATAAATCAAATAAGAACATAAAACTAAAATGTTATTTAACTTTGGTTAGGCCAATAATAGAATATGCATCCACCGTGTGGGACCCCTCAACTCAAGAAAACATTAAAAAACTGGAACAAACACAAAATAGAGTAGTGAGATTCATAACAAACGAATATTCACATTTGACTAGGGTAACACCATTAGTAAAATCACTAAATTTAGAAAGCCTTCAGGACAGAAGACTCAAAAGTAAAGTAGCAATTACACATAAAACACTGAACCATAATCTTCAAATACAAAAACAAAATTTAATAAAATACTCTGAAAGACACAAAAATAAAGGCACATTCCTCATCCCATATGCTAGGACAAATTTGTACAAATACTCATTCTTCCCTAGTGCTATTAGAGCATGGAATGGGTTGCCTGAGCTAGCCAGGAAAACCAGTGAATTGACAGAATTTAAGTCATTGGTTGATATGCATGACTAAATGCATGAATGCGTAAGACGTAATCATCTTCTTTTTTGAAGTAACGTCTGTATTATATAAGATAAGATAAATCTATATTGATATCTATATTTCTATATACTTACTTCTAATTTTGGTCCATACAGTCGAATACTTTTACTAGAGCTGCTGACATTTCTTACTGTTAGGTTTATTTCAGCACAGGTGCGAGGCTTTGTGTTGAAGAATTGAATTACTTGAGGGTTTACTCTTACACCCAAGACATCCCCTTCCATGATTTCTTTTCTTTTACAAAAAAAAAATCGAATTTTGGGGAAAATAAAGCAAATATTTTATTCCTTAATGCATTGAACTGTTCTCACAGAACACTATCACAACATCGGCCATTTTTGTTTTCTTAAACTTCGGTTGCTTGGGACTCTTCATTAACAGAAAAATTATAGTTTCGAAACTAGTTTGATAAAATAATTTATTGACAAAATAATTATAACAATTGATTATTATATTATTTCACCAGATCTTGTAAATTATATAGATCTAGAAATAAAATAGGAAAAAACAACAACAAAATACTTCGAAACTCAAACAATTTGAACTTTTCATCACCGTAACTAAGGATGCCAGGGCTTATTCGATAGTTTGTACACCCGAGCTGATTGTAAATAAAACAGTTTAATTCGGTAATGGGGGTTGATTATTATGATATTCTGGGCCTTACCAGAAGTGCTACAGATGCTGACATAAAGAAATTGTGAGTGTATTATTTATCATCATCTAATCTAAATACATTTTATTTTGTCCGCTATAGTAAAACTGAGATAATCATAGACATAGTAGCTAAGAATAATTTTTGAAACACAATCAATATCATGACAATGAATAAAGTCACTAAACTTACACGCTAATAAAAATATTAATAATATAAGAACATTAATTAAAAAAATAGTTTTAAAATATAAAGCCTAATAATCTTGTAACTAAATTGCTATCATATCATAATGATAAATCAGATAATTAGGTTAAACACAATAATACAATATATTATATCATTATATACTCTAGACTAAGGCCACACTATAAATAATGATCATTACTAGGCCAGTGTTGCACACTATCTATCCTATATGTAGGGCCTACACATATTAACTTAGTGGTTTAATACAGCCAATTGATATTTCATAGAATCATACTATTTAATTCTTTGCTGATAACTCAAAGCTGTGTACTGTGTGATTCCTCAGTATCCTCCAAGGTCGCGGATCTTGCAACCAAAATAAAAGTGGAGCTGTTGCAAATGTAAACACCTGGATGGTGCAGAGTAAACTTAAAATGAATAAATTAAGTCATTAAAATGTACACTTTGAACATTTCAAAAGTGTACTGTACAGAATTTTATCATAATAAACTGCAAGGTTTCCTTTGTCCATATAGTTTGTAAACTTGGAATTTTATCTTTACTTGACTCTATTCTTTTAATCTATCTCTGCAAGGGTCTTTATCTGGATTTGCATATATTAGGTCAGATCTGACCATAATTGACTATATATAGTCAACAAAGAAAATTGCTGTTGCAGTCATACTCTCCTGCCTTGACTATTGCAATCATGTGCTGTTGAGTATTGCTGACAAAGTCACCAAGCTGAAGGGAATTCAGAACAGCACACACAGATAGTTCTAAACGAATCAAGATGCATTCATGCTACTGCTCCCCTGTGAAAATTCCATTGGCTATGATTGCAAGAATTGATTACTAGGTGGCCACATATTGTCATCAGTGCATTTTTAATGATGAAATACCTTTGTACCTTAGAGAACTGATAATTTCTTTGTCTTTCAGAAAGCTTTGTTTTCTATAATATAGACTCTCAACTCTATTTGTTTTGCTGCATATTTCCTCCAAAACTTATGGTTCGGGGCCCTTAATTTCAGTGCATGGACCAAAGATGTGGATCTCTTTCCTGAGCTAAGACACTACACTCAAGAACATGAAGACTTTCCTTTTCAAAGTTTATTTACTTTGCCTTTTTAGCTCCTTTTTCTTTTGTCTGTTATGTTCTCACAGTGCTTTTGGTCTACATTATGTTTGTTAACAGTGTTATATATTAAATTTTTTATTACTAATACTAACGATTATTACATTTAGTTGTAAGTAGATCTACTTATTTAGACGATGTGAGTGTAAAATGGACTTTAAAAAAAGCAGGTCTAATAATATCTTATAAAGATTTAATTTTTTTCAAATTCTGTTCTGTTTATTTTATTACATAACATCCTTTTAAGTACTTTCTCACAAAAACATTCACAACAAACAATGACGCAATATAAACATATTAGATGTGGTTTTTAATCTTAGACTATAACATTAGATGTATGAATGAAATATATAAAATTTTAAAATATGATTTCAAATTATTAAGCCTATCGCTCATTTTAGATAAAATTAAAGAGCTTTATCCAAATAATATAGTCACAAATATATATATATATATATATATATATATATATATATATACACTTTAGTGCTTTCAAAAACTGTATTTGTTCATTATTAATGTAGAACAAATTTAATTTACCAACCCGTAATCAAATAAGGGATTAATAGGTGCCAACATAAGAGAAATCATATTGCTGGCCCTAACTAGTGGTTAAAAGCTGAATTTATTATCAAAAAAAAGGATTATAATTATTTATTTAGTGCACAATTTCTTTCATTTTTATCATTTAATATTTTTTTAAAACTTTTAAATTTGCTCAGTTTTATGATTTATTATTAGTAGTATTTCAAATTGATTAAAGAAATCTAAATTATTTTTTATTTTAACATTTTCAACATTGATCACTAAAACATGATGCTTTACATTTTAAAACAGCTACAGAAAATTATCATTAAAATATCATCCTGATAAGAATCAGGGAGATCAGAATGCAGCTGATAAATTCATGCAGGTTGCTGAAGCATATGATGTCCTCTCAGACCGTAAGTTTCAATAAATAATGCAGCATTTTATTAGCTTCATTTAGTACTAAAACATAAGTTCTAACTCCTATTTTCGTTAAGTGTTTCATTCAGTCATACAAAGTTCATTAAAAAATGCTTTTAAGACCTCCTTATGTGGCAAAATATGTAGGTTGCATTCATTATAATAATCTTTGGACTCGAAGATAAGCCTTATTATTATGAACATCAATACTAATCACACTTGATTACATTGCTGCTTTGTTTTTGCTTTTTATTTAGCTCGCAAACGTGCAGTCTACGATCAATTTGGGGAGGAGGGCTTGAAGCATGGTGTACCTGCTGGTAGTGGTCATGCAGGAGCTTGGACATATGGCTATGTCTTCCATGGAAACCCAGAAAAGGTTTTTAGAGAATTTTTCGGAGGTGACAACCCCTTCCAAGGTAATATGCCTATTAGTTCTATGGGTCCTTATTTCATTGTCTGTGTGTATGTTTTTTACCAATGCCTAAACTTTGGTCGTCAGTTTAGATTATATATATATATAAAAGTCCTGGGTTGAATTCCTATTAATATATGGTCTAATCTAGGGGAGATAACAGTTGTTCTGGGCATATACCATCAATAGAACACAAGTGGCATTCACATGTTTATATAACTTTTGTACCTTTAACATCTATAGAACCTTTGTAGTATTTAATATATAGAACCTATGTACCTTTAACATCTAGAAAAAATAAAATTTACATGAACTCTTGTTCCCAAAGAGGTCCTTGCTCTATGGACCATCAAAAAAGAAGACTCTTTATTGATACTTATGTGAAATTTATTGTGATTACAATGACTCATTTTTGAATTAAAAACAACAACAATACTCAACAAATAACAGACACATCCACAAATCAAAAGTTAATTGAGTGAATACACACAAACATCTTGATCTTCTTCTTGTTCCCTGGTCAACAAGTAGAATTGATCCAGTTTGAAAGAGTAAGGAAAAAACAAGTTCTTGTAAAATTTGGTTCTAGACTTAATAAAAAGAAGCGATGGTTGTCTTCTAAGATTTTTACACACAAAAAAAAAAAAATAACTAAGATGGTGATGAGAGTTTATGTTGCATAAAATTCTTTGCGACCCCACATGCAAATCGATCATACTCACACCTTTTATTGCATTTACAGACTCAATCAATAAGTATTTATTTCAGTTACTTTGAATATAGTGATCTTGTTATTGAGATAAAACTGTGTGTAGTGTGTAATTAAAAAATAATGTATTTTTATCTGCAAATGCTATTTAATTTTGAATTCTAAAGTTATCTGTATGCTTTAAAGATTAAAGTAGTTGTTGGACCTAATTTAAGCTAATTGAAGATGATGAATTTTCAATGGTGCTTCTAATGTTCGAGATTTCAACATAAACAATGTAAAACAAAACAAAAAAAGCAATGTAAATTTTGATCTTATACTGGTATATCATGTTATGGTGTTACATAATAATTTTGACCTAAAAATAAAAAAACAAAATGTTTTCAGAGTTTCACGACCGTATAGATGGAGACCTAAGCATGGGATTTGGAGGCCTACATGGAAGAGGAGCCAAAAAACAAGATCCACCCATTGAGAGAGACTTGTATCTTAGTCTAGAAGAAGTTTACCATGGGTGCACAAAGAAGATGAAAATTTCAAGAAGGGTTAGACACACATTTACAGTATAGACTAATATTCCAATCAAAATAGTAATTATTAAATTTTAGCCCAAATCATATTTATTTTTAAAAACCATTTCTGAATGATTATGTGTTTATGAATAGGCACTTATTTTCATTATTTGTTCACGAATAATTGCTTATTTTTTCAATTTGTTTTCATTATTTGTGTATAAATAAGTGCTTATTTTTAATATTTCTGTAAAATAGTAAACTTGTGTTTTCATTATTTTTTCACAAATAGGTGCTTATTATTTGTTTATGATCAGGCGCTTTTATTTTTCACCATAAAATAGGTGATGAATGAAGATGGTCACACTTCAAGTATTCGTGACAAAATTCTTACAATTACAGTGAAAAAGGGATGGAGGCCAGGCACAAAAATAACATTTCCTCAAGAAGGTGATCAGGGGCCAAATAATGTACCAGGTAATCTGTCAGTGACTGTTAACAAATTTATACTGGTGACAAGTTGGATAAGGTGGCTTCTAGAGTTTATAGCTTTCAATTCAGTCTAGACAGTACATTTGTAATTTCAAGACCACTGAATAGATGAATTATACTTTTTTTTTAAACCATTTATTCTAAAAAAAATTTAGAATAGATGTATTATAATTCCACAATGCAATTTATGTGGTTTGGGAAAGTTTTATGCCACCTTGTTCAGGTATCTTTCTTTTTAAATTACACATATTTAATTGTATTGCAAATATAATTTTTAATTCATCAAATTAAATAAATAAGGGCTATAAAAACATTTAAACAAAAAAATAAGATCTCACTGCATCAGAAGATTCACAAACCTAATAAAAATATTGCATTTATTTTGATATATAATGTGAGAAACCTCCACAGTGTACTAGCCATGACAGCAGAGATGTGGACACAAAAAGTGTAAACAAACTTTAAATTGCTATTCGATTGGTTTCAAGTGTGTAACTGTGTTAGATTACAATAGAAATGTCTTTTTTTTCAATGTGATGTTTTTTTTTTAATTACACAACTACCAAGTGATAGTCCAATATACTTTACTAAGACCAACTTTTAAAGTAGAATATACAAAATCTTTTAGCTTGTAGATAAAGTATGTTTGAAAGATAGTGTTAAGATATCTTGATAGGACATTTATTAAGTCTTTCCTAAAAATATACATCAAATTTTTTTTTTCTATCAGCGGATATTGTATTTATTGTCAAAGACAAGCCTCACCCAAGGTTCAGACGTGATGGTGCCAATTTGATCCACAGAGCCCGTGTCCCTCTTGGTAGAGCTCTTACAGAGTGTACAGTTGAAATTCACACACTGGATGAAAGGACTCTCCATATTCCAATCAATGACATCATCAGGTAACCAAGGATATGTTAGCCTCCGATTGAAACCTATTTTTGATGTATTTTCAAATTTACTTCCACAATTGCGTTACCACAATCACTAAAACCAGGATGATGGATTAATGAATGTGATTCATAGATTCTACACTTAATGTGTATCTCTTATGATAACATTCAAATGATCTTAAAATTAACAATCAGGAGCGTTCTTTTTTTTTTTTTTTTTGCATTTGTCATTGAAACAGGGTCTTAAAAGAGGTACCATTATTACAGCTTTTCTACCATGAATTTACACTATTCCACCATATTAATGATACTACTTGACCTTACGAAATTACACTATTCCACCTTATGAATATATATTGCTTGACCTAATGAAACTACATTGAAAACAGACTAGCTGGGTGTATGTAGATAAAAAAAAATTAGCTAGTTACTAAAAACGTTTTTTTAACTTTCTCTCTTCAGACCTGGTTATACAAAAGTTGTGCCAGGAGAAGGCATGCCACTTGTGGTAGCACCCTGTGACAAGGGAGATCTCATTATTGAATTTGACATTGAGTTTCCACCTTCTCTACCACCAGAGAAAAAAGAACATGTTCGAAAAGCTTTAATAAATTAAGGAGACCTCCTAGCTATCAATGTTTTATACGTTTTAATCCTTTAAAAAGTAATGTTTTCAATTCTAGAAAGAACAACACTGAAAGGCTTGATACCATCCATTGTAAACCAGTATACCTATATTTTAATAGTATTGTTTGAACATTATTGAATTATCTTCGTTATAATCAATTAAATTCAAGTTTTTTTACTATCATGAACTAAATATACCTTTTGCCAATTACTCATGTGATGTGCATTCCTTGCTGATGAAAAAAAATGTTGTAATTTTTTAAAATATTTTTTTTTAATTTTGTAAAGTATTTCAGTACTTTTTAAATCTATATTTATGGATTACATTCAATTGCACAAAAACTGAAACAAAAAAAAAATGTTTATGTCCTGTTGGTAATTTGTCAATACGATTGGTAGAAAATGACTTAAATTACTTTCCAGCTCATATGAGGGAGGACTGTAGAGTTCATTATCTTGAGCTAACAATTTTATAACAATAATTGCTGAACATAAGAAGACATTAATCATCTCAACAATTTTAAGGGAAAAGTTTGAACTACTCTACACAAATGTAGTTTAACATTATCAACACAAACATATAAAAATGTATACAAGAAAGTGTTTTGAAAACAAGAAACAAAAAAAAAAGTTAAACTAAAAATGTATCTTAACAATCAAATATTTTAAAAAATATATCAAGCAGGTAACTATTTAATTTGAAAACTGAAATTAATAAACATTTCTATTGATTCCACATAGTTCAATGGTGAAACAAACAATATGAAGTTTGTCAAGGCAGTCAGTGTGTAGTTACATATGAAATGAAATAAATAATTATGAATTATACCAAAAGCAAAATGAGACATTTTCTCAAAAATATATATTACAAATTCATGTACATAACACTTGCATACAGTTATTCAGATGACAGGTGGATAGCAGCAACAAACAACATTCTGAAAATAAAGTAATTAGTAATCAAACAATTTTGTACCCTCCAAAAATATCATGTCTAAAACCAAAAATTGTTTTCATACCGGTATTCAAGAGCATGAGAGTCAGACTTGCTACCTAGAAGCGTAAAGCAGTTAAACTACTGGCTTGTTTACATCTAAATAGTATTTAATAAAAATCATAGTTCATCCTTTTCTATTCTTTCTTTGTATTTCTTTTTCATTCAACATACATCATTCCACGTGCACATTTAACTAACCAGCTCTTATAATAGTTCCATGGAAGGTAAAAGTCTCTATAGGTCTCAAAGAGGATTATACTAATTTTTTTAGTAATTCTGTAAGGACAAACAAACTTGAATAATAAAAAAAAATAAAGTTTTCAGTAAGCTCTAATGTAATACATGCCCTTGCCAAAGGCAGGTACTTAAATAGACTACCAGTGAACAATGGCTTTCTCAGTATCGGATGTCACAAAATATGTAAGTTGCAACGTATCCTGCTTGGTCATTAAAATACTACACTCATCTTTTATCTTCTGCCACTAATTCAATCCCTCTCAAAAACTCTTATTTAAAACAAAAGATTTTTTGAAATATTTTTAAAAAAAAGAAAGAAAGAAGCAGAAGAAGAAGTCATTCATTTCTAAATAGATTTAAAATAAATATGCTTATCTAAAAAACAGGTTTAAAGTCTAGCCAAATATTTCAGTACACAGAGTGATGACTAAAAAAGTATAAATTTAAGCATGTGCAAAGTAACTCATTTATAGGACATTATAAACATTACCCAAATCTAGAAAAAAAATTATTTAACTTGCTGGAAAAGATGTATATTTCTAACCACATAGGTTCATTACAACTGAATTCTAGTTAATTTTTTGGAAAAATACTATTTGAAGTCTGACCGTAAAAGTTTACTTGACAGCCATTGTTCACTTCACACATCATAAATACAACTGAATCACACACAACACAAAATGCAGGGATTATAAAATAAGCTTTTTCAGATAATAAGGGTTCATAGTTGTTACCTTTTCAAATGTTAAACCCCATCTCTCTCATACATTGCTTGTGTTTCTCTATCAAGTCACCACAATTTTCTTCTCCTTTCTCAATGACACTGAAAAAAAACAAGGATAGAAAATGAGAATCCTATTTATTTTTTTCAATAACAAGGATATTCTCAAATATACCATTCTAAGATTTGGGTAAAAAGGTAAAAGAAAAATATTAGGGGCTGGAACACTCACATTGGTATTCATTACTTCATGTGTGACTGTGATGCCAAATAAATGTTTTACATCTATACAGACAGATTGTGCTTGAAGTATACTTTAAGTAAAAAGTTCCCCTATCAGACCTTGTGATCTATAGGGTTGGCCTACGGTTGAGGTGGCCAGCACAATGACCAACCGCCTTTGCTTTTCCCTAACTGATGTCAGATACCCATTAGAGCTGGGTGGACTCAGAGATCTTCTCAAATTTCAAATCCAAGTCTTCACAGAGATTCAAACCCGGGACCCCCAGTTCTGAAGCCAAGTGCTGTACCCCTCAGCCATTAGAGCTGGGTGGACTCAGAGGCGCCCAAAGATCACAAAATTAAAAATCCCAGTCTTCAACAGAATTCGAACCCCAGACCACTCCGCTCAGCCACCGTGCCTCCTGAAGTATACTATATTTAATATAACATTTGTAATTAGCTTTTAAAATACACTTTCCCTCAGGGTGTTTCAAGCGCATTCATTGTCACCAAGAAGTATGTTGGGTCCCTATTCATCAAGTGCTGGTTGGTGTGTTAGTGCTTTTTCAGTTGTTTGTGTTAGCAAATTATGAGGTGAAAAATAGTAGTCAAACTGACTTCCATTAGTTTGGAATCTTTTCTTAATAATTTCAATAGCAGTAACAAATGGTTGAGTATGCTTAAAACTTCTTTTAAAAAATCTCAAAATTGAACTAATGTTAACAGTAAACAATATAAGTATAAGTATTAAGTGAAACTAAACACAGTACCATTCATCTCTGGCTTTCTTTGTTTCTGGGCAAGCACAACAGGCTTTACATTTTGGCTTCTCTTGCGGAGGTGTACCATTAACACCTGTGTTGGACAACTGAGGAGTTTCAACAGGCATAGTTTTTGCTAGAAATCTGACGATAAAAGAGATAAGTTGTGCATATAATGCATGAGTTAAAAAAAAAAAAAAGACTACACAGAACTACTATTTAATATATTAAGATGAAAGTTTGTTTTTTTTTCGTGTGGTTATGTTTATATTTTAGTTTAATTAAATCTGAACAACACTAAAAAATAAGTAAAAAGAAATATTTCAACACTATTTTCATTTTTTTTAAGATACTTTTATGTGTACCGAAAGAAGTCAAAGTGTATAATTCAGAATACAATTAAAAAAGTGGAGCTTGTTCTTTTTCAAACATACAAGATTTAAATAATATTGATACTTAAATAATAGTTCATTATTTAGGCAGTGCTACACGTGACATACACTAGACTCTAGTGACTAAAGGACAAATCTTATAGTGTTTTCGATTAAAAGTTTTAAATTCTTGGTAACTAATAGACAACAAAACAAGAATTGGAAGGTTACTTTACAGTACTTTATAAACATAGACAGACCTAGCTTGTTCTAGATCTTTATCTAATCTAGATCTTGACGGTTGCTAAAATAAAAAGCAATGTTTATCTTATCATGACTTTGTTATGAATATATTATAGCTTTTATATAGCGCTACTTTCATGCTTATAGCATGCTCAGAGCGTTTTTGGTCCAATCTCATTTGTGGGGGGGAGGGGGTAACTAGGAGTTAGTTTTCCGTGCTGCCTTTAGGCGCTCAGTAAACACAACTCTGCCCGAGTCAGGTGTCGAACCTCGAGCCCCCTTCTAGGTAGCCAAGCCAAGCTAAGTTCAAGCACACTTAGCTTCTCGACCACGCTTCCCATGAACATAAAAATGAGAGAGTCAAAAACCATGTCTGTATAGTATGGCTTTAATACACTGAAAGACAACACAACACACATTTTGTTAACACATTCTCATGGACGAGTTACAAGCACATGTAAACATAAGAACGATAACTGATACAGAATACAATTTTCATAACATTCACCCCCGGTTCAAATTATGCAAACTAGTATTATAAACAGTAAAAGAATGAAGTAAGTGTAGAATAATAATAGAGATTCAAGTAAACAAACAATGTAAAATAGAATGAAATTATGTAACATGGTAAATCAAATAGCTTATTAAAATATATCATGATAATCAACAAAGCCGAATGAAGTAGTAGAATAAACAAAATAATAGTTCTAGTAAGCTGATGAGCTTTTACACTTTGTAGTTGGGCCTAGTTCTCCTTACTCTAAGATTGTGTGTATGTGTGGTTTCATCTGCTTGAGTTTCGGACGGTCTGGCTATGTCTCCGGTGGTGCTGGTGGCTTCTTCAGGCATGATAGAATCAGTCGGTTGATTCCTGGGAGGTGAGCTTTGGACGGGGCAATCAATATCAAGCTCTGTTCTACTCTGATTCTCATTTTCTATAACTTTTTGTTCCCCCCCTAGGGGCTAACATTCGTAATGAGACAGTTTCCTCTCTGCCGTTTGGTGTTCGGATAACAGCATACTGAGGGTTGCATGTTACCA